TAATTGAATATAATTTTGACAGTAATGCTTCAGTAATTATGCCAATGCATATGAAATGAAAAATGATGGCAGTGATGATAATGTAATGATGATGTTGATGTTGAAGGTTACAAGTGGTGGTGTTGGTGTTGTTAGTAGTCATGATGTTAATGGTAGTGGTAATATTGGTATTAAAGCAATTGATGGTGGAACAGTAAATATGAGAAGGCACCTTAAAAAGAGAGTCCAATCCAATAAAGACAACTTACTTCTTTGTCAAAAAACATATTTAAACATGCTGAAGTTGTACAAGAATAGCAAATACATGATAATTATATATATAACATTAAATACCATAAAAAAAAACTTTAAATTTTTTATTTTTTCTGTTTATATAAATCCAATTTTTTAAATACACATTATATATATTATTAAAATTATTTCAAATTTTTATTTATCATATTAGGTTGTATAAAAAAAAAATTAAATTAATGACAGTTTAAATTTTACATAATCATTTATTTTATTTTTGTATTTATCTGCTCCATTGTTTGTCTTTATCTTTAACTATTGCACTATTTCTTTGTTTTACAAAGTGAGCTTTTTTATCAAAATTATCATCATCATTGTTGAATTTTCTATTTCTATTAATGCTACTACTACTACTATAATTATTATGACTAATTTTAGATTCTCTTCCACTAGATCCAATGTTAATATTTACTTTAGGTGGTACTTGAAAACCAAATGATTTGCCAACTTTTTGAAGATCCAAATTATTAAGATTGAAAATAGTCTTTAATCTTTTGCTGATTGATGAAGATAATAATTTTTTTCAATAAGTTTTTCAAGCTATTTATTTAAAATAGATTAGATTATATATATATATATATAATTTGCAAGTAACAAAATTTTTTTTTTAAAAAATTTATTACCTGTGATTGAACATTGGCAATTTTATTGGCAGGAAATTGGTATTCATTTAATGGAACTTTTGCTTGCTTAAGATAATGTAAAAATCCAAGTTCACTTGTTAATAAAAATAACAAGCTTTTTCCTTCACCACCAGCACGAGCTGTTCTTCCCACATGATGAATATAATCATGTGGTGGATCATATTGAATAATCCAGTCTACAGCTGGAATGTCTAGTCCATGAGCAGCAACATCTGTACAAAGAAGAACACCTTGCTTTGCATTCATGAATTCAAAAAAGGTAGTTGTCTGTTTTGTTTGTTTTTTTTTACCCTAATAAATAAATAAATATATAATAAATATTAATTTATATATTATTGTGATTGATTTAAAATGAAAGGAAAAAAAATTTACATGTAAATCCAAAGCTGATACATCAATATAATTTAACAATCCAGCATGATACTTTACTGGTTTACAAACTGAGAAAAAAACTATTATCTTTTTTTTTCAAGTATCTTTTTAGAAAGCAAATAACAACAATAATCTTTTGTCACTATCACAAACATTTCTTTTTTCCATCTACATTTATATATTGGCCCATATCCTTCTATTTTAGTCATTTGTGTAGCTGAAAATAACATTTTACTAAATTTAATAAATATAAAAATAAGATATTTATATTGCCCTTAGTCTAATTTTGTCTAAATATACATATATATATATAACAACATACCTTTTGGAAAAATTTTAATTATTTTTTCATTTCATCTTCAAAAATCAACTTCTAGAATGTGACCAATAATAAGAGCTTGTATAAAACCCTTTGGTATTCTTTAATAAATTGATTAACTAAATACAGTACCTAGACAAAGGAATCGGAATGCATGTTTTTGTTAATTACGTAAAAACATACATATCAACAACATATTAAATTTATATCATAAGTAAC